CAATTCACAGCGCTTACCAGAGCACATACCCTCCCCAGTGTCTATCACCCAGTCACCCCATCCCTCCCACCCCACCCCCCACTCCAGCAACCCTGTTTTATGGTACTTTAAATTCTGTTTTGCATGGAGGAAAGAAAAAGATCTTAAAATGTATTTAGTCATTCTTCAGGTTGTTTGTAGGTTTAATGTGTGTGCAGATTTTTGCCATGTGTATAGAATATTCTTTAAAAAACAGAATTGAAATTTTGCTTTATTGTAAAAAACTGCTGTGATTTACCTTGATTTTGGCAAATGAAGTAAATAAAGTAGCCCCATGGGGGCTTTGTTATTTTGGTAATTGCCTACTTTGTGTGAATACAGATGAAAGAATCCTTTGAAGTAAAAGGAACATTATTTTGTAAAGAAAATAGATTTTTTTCCTTGTAGTATTGCATAAACCTTTGAGAAAGCAGGTTATTTTTCATTTTTTTGTTTTGTGATTTTTCTTTGAATACAGTATTTTGCTTACTATTGCGTTTACTGAAAAATTCTTTTTTATTGGTGATAATAATAACTGCTCCCAAGAAGAAATTTGTATTTCCTTTCATTTTAGGATTTGTCATCTAAAAAACGTATATCTAAACAGAAGTGAAGATAATGATTACCAACCACAAATTTAATGATATTAAAGAAATTAAAAGTTTTGATTTCTTTGCTCATCTTGTGTACTATATAGTCTAGCTCCTTTGAAATCTTTTCTTTGGCATCCTTTTGTATGATTTTCAGATTACGTTAAGGTTCACTGTTATAAAGCCTTTGAATGGCATAAAGATGACAATTAATGGCATCTGCTTCAGGCAGCTTATGTAAGTCATAGTTGCAAACCAACTTTTTAGTTTTATTCCTACCAGGCTATTTTAATTATAATCTATAGTCCCTGGTAGCATTGTGTGACTAAAATACTTACACATGACTATTGACCTATTAATGACATCTAGTAAATTAATGTTGATGCTTTAAAATTATTTACTAGTTGTGTATGGTTCTTTTTCTTTCTGGGTGATTTAACTCAGTATTTATATAGTTATTTATTTTAATTTGAGTATCTTTGGTGTTTGTGAGAAGACACTCTCCGGTTTAGGCTCCAGTTGTCTGTTTAATGTGTAACCAGTTCAAATAATCACATCTTACATTGGATGCATATAAACTTACCTGTGGGGTAAAGCCTTTTGAGAGATGAGTGTTGCTTACATATGCTTCTCATATAGTGTTTTTTTGTTTGTTTGTTTTTAATGTCTTCAGTTTATTGGAGGTCACTTTGGATGCCCCTTAGAATTTGGCACTTAGATTCTTAGAATAAACCTGGTCAGAAGATCCTGGGGTGGTTGATATTTGGCTATCTGTAGAAGCAACCTATCTTGGAGAGGTAATAAATGTGTCTTAGGAGATCAGAGAAGTGCCCCAGCCTAAAGATGATGAGGGTGTACATCAGGCCTAGAATTAAGTTGTAGTTTATTTCTATTTATGCATTAATTTTTTTTTCTCTTCAGGATATTTTTATCATGAGGGTGGTGTCGTCTAGGTAATATGAAGTGTTGCGTCAAGCATCATTCAGGAAAAAGAAAACTATTTAGGAGTCATGACTATTGTAGTTGTTATGTAAGTCATCAAGAGTTCGACATGTTTTTTATAGTCTGGGTGAAATGATCTCTGAACTTTTCAGTTGCCCTTTATTGAATTCTATATTTATCAATACTGTGATGGTGCCAATACATTCTTCTTGGTATTTTTATACTGAGAAAGAATTATTCATGATAATGGATGTGACATAACTTTCTAGTGAGTTTGGTTTGTCAGGCACAAAGAGCCTCATCAACACCGAGTTCATTGACAAAATTGAGTTTCAAGAATTTTAATGAGAACCTGATCTTACCAAAATGTTGACAGTGATATTTTGCTTGACTTTCATGTTGGTGTTCATGTTTCACATCTATTAAGTTCAAAATCAAGGAAAATCTTTTTAATTTTATAAAAAGTTTTAACAAATCTGGAAGTGCAAATAGTAACTTTAAATATAATTTGTAATTGCAGATATGTATATTTGCATAGATAAGGAAACATTTTACTCTTAATAATTGAAAGGTAGATGAAGTATAACATGACCTACTCTAAAACGTAAAGACGTGTACTAACTAATCTTGTTTGTTTGCAGTGAGGATCTTTAAAAATTTTTTATCACATTTTCTCATTAAATAATTTAACTTCTCTCAGAATATTGAGTTAAACAGAAAAAGAGTAATCTGTTTTTATTAATTTCAGTTATGGATAAATTTTTACAGAAGATAGAATCATAAATGTTTAAAAAGATCAAATACCTCCTAGAGCTAGAAGTTGGCTCAGTTGTGAATGGAACTCAGTTTGTCTAACTCTAGTCTGAACTATTCAAATTGTCCTATAACCTTAATTTATGTCTGTGTGGGTTTATGTATTTTTCTTTTCCTAATACTTAACTTTGTGTTTATGGTTATATGAATTTGTGTTTTATCTGCCATCCCCAAAGTTTGAGACCTTTTTGATTATATGTTTGTTTTGCATGAGCATGGTCTTAAATATTTAAGTGTCCATTACAAAAGGAGCTCAATGAATGTTAATCAGTAGTTCCTAGATACAATCTGATTTCTTTTTAATGAAGATTCCTATTTTTATGTAATTCTTATTCCCGTAATGCTTTTCCAGTAGATGTAAAATTATTTTAAAAGGTCATTTGTTTCATTGTGCATACTATGGTAGTGAAAAAGTACTTTTATAAAATGATTTCACGTACATGTTTTGACTTTAATATCATTCTTATAAACCATTAGTTTTTCAGATTTGTTCTCTACTTCCCTTTTTCTTTTGTAATTTTATAAATGAGTTAAAAAATAAACTATTTAATCATACCTTTTTTTTTTTTTTAGGTTGTTATGGAGTTGATGGAGAGAGTGACTCTATTATGAGTTCAGCTTCTGAAAACTCCACAGAACCTTGGTTTTGTGATGCCTGTAAATGTGGTGTTTCCCCTAGCTGTGAACTCTGTCCCAATCAGGATGGAATTTTCAAGGAGACAGATGCTGGAAGGTTGATGTCATAATTCTGATGGGTTTATATGCCTGCTTTATAATGTGTCTGCTTCTATTATTTTTTCAGTTACAAACTTTTGTTTGATTGTTTCTTTGTATTTTTTTTGGCATAGGGTAAATGGACAGTAGGCTACAGATCAGGGGAAGGAGAAAAGACTATTTATTGGTTATCTGCATTTGCCTTTATAGCCATAGTCCCATTTAATCCCAGTGATGACTCTATAATGAGACAGTTGCTAAAGTTTTCCATTTTATGGGTGTAGTACCTGAGCCTTAGATCATTAAGTAATTTTAATTTGATCAAGGTCACAAGCAGGTGAATAGTCAGATTTGAACCCAGATCTGTCTGACTTCAAAAGTATATCAGAAGACAGAACCCATACAGTGGTTTTAAAAGGGGACTTTACAGAATTATTAAGCTATGATAAGAGTAACTGTGATATCACAGCCTGTACCCCTGAAACAAATAATACATTATATGTTAATTAAAAAAAAACTAATGATGTACTACAAGTTGGCTAATTTAATTAAAAAAAAAAAAAGTAACTGTAATATAAAAGAACTCTAAAGGATACCCTAAGGCCGAGGGAGAGCATCCAGGGAATGACAAACTTGGAAGACCCCTCCCCAAGGCTGGAGTTCAGACCTTATTGGAGAAGGTGTAGTTGCAAGCTATTGGATGGCAGAGATGCTTACTGGTTTGCCTGGGCCAGAACTGGTCTTTAGTTCGTGGCAAGTGGGTGTCTAGGCACAAGTTGCAGAAGGTACTGGGGCACCAGTATGGTGTCTGGAGTGTGTGGGGTCCGTGTTGGGAGGGCCACAGAAAAGTGATCTCCGGGCTGGGCTTGCGAGGGCACAGAGTTGGTAGTTGGTGTATGTGGCTGGGGCAGAGCCCTGGCAGATGCTCTTCATCATCCCTGCTGAGAAGTGCTTTCCTCCTACAGTGCTCTCTACCACTTCTACTGAGACAGCTTAATATCTTGCTCACTGTAAAGGAGAAATGCTGAAGGTATTTTCTCCATTATTGCATAGCAGATATTTGAGGTGGATTTGGAGCTGAGAGGCAATAAATTGATAACTGGCACAAAGATCTATGTTTTTTTCACTACACTCATACTAATCTTTATTATTACATTTGAGCAATTGTCATCATAATAGTGTTGATATTTTTCATGTTTTTGCCCAGGAGACTACCATCTGGGTAGTTTAAGAGTAGTTCCTACCCTCTTGTATTTTATGGATCATTACCTACCTGACCTCCCCACCGCCCCCCCCAATATGAGTACTAAAATATATTAAGTTTTTTATTTTGTGATGAAATATTTCAGTATTTTTAAAAATGTTTAATAGTGGGACAAATTTTCAGCATTATTTTCCATATTTTAACATTGAAAAGGATAGGATACATTTTATCCCAAAGTAAAGATAGTCTTTAAAATTTAATACATGTTACTTTAGCAAAGTCAGAAATATTTTTCTTATATGTCCCTTGGTTGGTGGAGAGGCCCCTGAGAAATGTTGCCATACAAGGTTGTTGGGATAGCATAGAATCTACCATGGAATCTTGGAGAAGCCTGTGTGTTGATGTCTAGGAAAAATGGCTAAAAATCTTAGCTCTTCTTCCTCATTGCACATCCAAAAAGATGAAATAAAATACAAGGCATAACAAATGATTTGATGTATTGACATGAATCTTTAGTCTCTGTCATAGACCCGGGCATTATTTCATGTTTGGACTGACTTGGGCCCAGAATTAGGGAATTGAGTGCAGCATTAAAAGTGTGTGCTTCCAGGTTGGACTGCCTATATTTGAGTTCTGGTCTTTTTTTTTTTTTTTACTAACTGTGATTATAGGCATTTGATTTAACTTTTTAAAACCTCTATTTTCTTAGTACTTTTGAGAGGAATGAGATGATTCCTATAAAACAGTACAGTTTCTGGAGCATAGCAAGTGGTTAATAAATGTCTCCTTATTTCTACTGCTTCTGCTACTGCTGCTCCTAATGGTTTTCTTACTACCAGTATTGTTCCATTTCCTTAAGGTGATCATAGAGTATCAGCTGCATGAATTCCTTCTGGTAACTATTTAGTCCTGACAGTTGAAATTTTTGATGAGAAATTGTGGTGAATAAGTAAGACAACTTTGGAAAACACAGAGCTTCCTCTTAGGGAAAATAATTTGTTTTACCTCTTTTCTTGTTCATAATTTAAAAGTTCTATTGAAAAACTATAAAGTACCTGTCTCTTCACGCTATTATAATCCACAAAATGACTTGTAAAATTGTTTCTGAATGGAGAAAAGAGAGGCCCCTTTAATTAGATTCACTGAGAAATATTTGTACTGACTCCTGTGGATCTTACCTCTACAGACACTTCCCTTGGTGGTACAGCCTCGCAGAAGTTCTTCTATAGTATTTGAACATTTTATTTGCATTGAGGCACACACTCATCTATAGGCTATGGTGGAAATTACAGGTCTTGAAATAGTTTGAAGGATATAGTTGAACCTTGATATACTTTGATACAAGGCAAAAAAAAAAGTCAAGAAAATTTGGCAAGCCATTTAGTATTCTAGCTTCAAACGGTAAATGGGGGGAAAAAAAGAACAATGTATGGAAAGAATGAAAAAGGTTTTGAAACTGCATATCACATAGGCTAATTAGACTTTTTCCCCCTCTGTTTCTGATGGGAGCCGCAAGTTCTACATCTAGTTAGTTTGCTCTATTAAAATATGTGAGTTTAAAAGGATATATTAATAGTTTCCATGCTAGAATGACAATTTTGACTCTTCGTTTTTTGGTGGTTTTATGTGGTGCTTGATTTCTGTTTCATTTCCCCAGTCAACATCTTTCCTTATAGCTCTAAGCAAAATGGACGTTAACATAGCAAAGATGGTTCCCTTTTGATTTCTCCATTTGTCTTAATTACAGAGTTCTAAAGTATGTACAATTAAACAAATGAACAAAAAATTATTTACAAAAGGTATTAAAAAGGAACAAAATTGTCTCAGCTGTTTGATACGCATTTTAATAAAGACCCAAGTTGACATCCTCACGTCAGTGGTTGGGGAAATGATACAGTTTTGTGCCAATCACACTGAAATGGCAGTTTAAATCTGTAGTACTTGCATGACTTGTACTAAAATATTTTCAGAAGGTCAGTATGAAGCAAGCAGCCAGCTGTTGGGTTTATCAAAGATAAACTCCTACAGAGTACAGTGGCATTTAATACACCAGTGGAGCATGAAAAAGCTGCGCAAATTAAATTGAGAAAGCAGCTGCTTGTTGAAGATGTGTATCTTTATATCGAACTCCACAGGATGCATTTGGGAGGTTGGATTAAAACATTTTATCAAGAAAATCTCAAAATCTTGGATTTTCTTCTCAATAAAAAAGATAATTTCTAAAGATTTGTAACTTTTCCCCAGTGCCTCTATAAAATGATTCTTAGTCTTACTCTTTTAAAATGTATAATGTGTCACAAAACACAACCATATAGCAGTCGTAGCCTCTCAAGCTGTGATAAAGCAGAATTTGTTGTTAATATAGTCACAAGGTTAAGAGATTTGCTGTCTCATTTTTACCTTCTTTCTTACAGAAGTGATATAGATCTGTTTAAATTTCGAAATCTGGTGATCCCATATATTGTGTGGTTGTATGTAAACAGAAAGGATTCCTGATGCATTTCAAAAGTTTCAGCGCAGCTTTTAAAAAATGAAATTAGAATCAACTACCTTTTTTTAGTGTACTGAAACTTCAAGCATTCTTTATTTAGTGTTGCGTATCATTCAGACTTAAAAAAATACATGTGGGGCATATAAGTTTTAGTACAAAGGTTGTATGGTGAACAGATGAGTGAAACAGGACTTCCTTATATTTTATAACTGTTCTGGACAGTCTTCGAGAATCAGTTTTAACCTGGGAAGAAAGAAAGGATGAACATTAAAAATTGTTTTAAAGTGTTCTGAAGGACTATTCCAACAGCTTTTAGAAAAAAGTAACAAGGAAGAATAATTTTACCTAATTACTGCAGAATTACTTCACAGTTCTTAAATTAGATCCTTACTTCTCAGAGTGCTTAAAGTAATGAATGTGAATACCTTTCCACGCATAAGAAAATGATGTTTTGTTTCATTTGAATAGTGGTTTTGTGCAAATATTTAAGAAAAATAGGTGAGTGCAAAGTGCAGTGAACTGAAGTGACAGGCAATTATAGTTGTTAACTCTCAGCTTTGGCTAAGTGCTAGAAAAGTGCTTATTGCAGTTGTGCTTATTCGATATTCTTCAGTTATGTGAGATTCTGAGATCTGACCATAGAATTCTTTCAGGAGTTATTTGAGATGGCACATATTTTATGTTTATTTTCCTTGTGGGCATTTTATGAAAGGGTTTGATGGCAAAATCATATTTTCTCTCCTTATAGATGGGTTCATATTGTTTGTGCCCTGTATGTTCCTGGAGTAGCCTTTGGAGATATTGACAAATTACGACCAGTAACACTAACAGAAATGAATTATTCCAAATATGGTGCCAAGGTGAGACAAAGTTTTCTTTATTGTCTAAAAGAGAAAAATTTTACTTGTTAGTTTGTATGGCTTTTTACTAATACCATATCATTGTTGAGTACAGAAATGCTTATTCTTATTATACTAGTTTGTAGAGTAGTTAGCACTAAATCATCTATTATTGATAGTAATTTTCCCAGAAAGCCCATAATTTATAAATTCCTTCATGTATTCTTTAACTTTTGGGGTAAAATGATAATTGATTCTACTTAACATTTCTGTGCCATTTAGCACACTCCCTAGCACATATGAATTCTCAGACTAGTTAGAACAAATACAAACCTAATTTCTGACTTTACTTTTGAAATGGAATTTACCAAAATTACGAAAAGAGTATAAGAAGCACCTGTTATTTTACTTTTAGACTTCAAGGACTGTTTTTTGTTTGTTTTTTTTTAATGACTACAAAACCTGTCTAGCAACTGATTCTGAGCCTCAAGTTTATAAATTGGTTTTTATTGCTTGAGCTTTAGGATTATAAGTGATAAAAATACACTTACTAATTTAAATTTAGTTACATGATTACTACAGACATCCCTGTAATATTAGAATGAATTAGGCACTGATACATTCTCTTCCATTGCTGTCTTTTGGGAAATTGGGAAGGAAAACTCTTGAATAGCATTAGTAACACATTAAGGTGGGGTGGGAAGTTTACAGATTGTTGGAAAACTCCGATATTGAAAATTCAAGAATTTGACAGTTTCTGCTGTTATATCCAGAATATCCTCCTTAGGTTCTAACCACCACCTGCATCCCTCACCCTCCAGCCTCACTCCAAAACTCTTGTGCTTTAGTTTGGGTAATTTCTATTGAATTATCTGTAGCATCCCTCTCCAAAATTAGCTAAAGCCCCCAGGGAGAAAAACAGGCCCAAGCACCGAACTTACTTTCCTGGTCCTCAGGTAGTTCTATACTTTTTATCTCTCTGATGCCTTTAAGCAATAGTTTAAAAAAAAATACTTTGTCCATATTTTCTAGTTTCTAGCAGGATTAATACAGATTACCTAGTGTACCATTATTGGAAGTGAAAGGTACTGCTTTTTGATAACAGCTTCATAATTCATAAACACAAAGCCTAGAAGGGACTAACAAGTAATTTTCAGTAGGCACACAGTATTATCATAAATATAAATCTACAAGCAATGAAAAACACAGGAACCAGATATTACTTCATATATCTGAAACCAGCAGTGACCTCTGAACCAAAAAAGAGAATCATTAAATATGCAATTGTGAGCTGATTTTTCATTATCACCTGCTTTTGTTTTGAAGTATGATTAGGAAGTGGAGTAAAAAATTATGTATTCTCTAGCTCATCTGCAAAATCAGTGATGTGAATTATAACTGGGACAGCTCTTCTAGACCTGTCTATCCATTTACTAATCCTGGTTGCTTTCTTTCCTGTGTTCTCAGTTGCTTAGTTCCCTAGCATTTTAAATGATTCAAGCAATGGAGGAAGATTCTCTTTTTCTTGCTAGATTGTTTTATAGTCTTCACAGGACCTTATGGTCAGGAAATTATTTCTTGTATTCACTCTGAAATCTCTTGCTCAACTTCATCATATTACATTGAATTAGTTTGGGAACTATCCTGAACAATTTGGTTCTTTTTGCACTATTGACATTCTTGAAATAATTTAATTTCTTCATTTCTCTCTTTCCCTTCCTCTCTCCTGTCTCATTCTTTCTCTCTCTTTTGGTTTCATGTTTAGATTACTATTTGCTAGTATTTTATACCGTACGCCTTCTACTGTTACTGGAAAAAGACATTTAACCAAGCAGTAGAGTGTCAGGATTGGGGTGTGTTTTCACATCTCTGCCCAGAGTCCTGTTCTTGCTGTTTTCATTCATTGCTGATGTGTCAGTTTGGTGCTGTCTACCTAGTAGATAGCCACTAACTGTTAACAGTGTTAAAATGACATTTTTAGTGTCTGTTGAATTTTTTTCTTTATGTTTCCCTTGTATTTAATTTACTTAGAATATATTTACTATAAACAGTTCTTCTTTAATTGTCTCTTGGCAGTCTTTCACAATTTAGCAGGTTTTTCTTCAATGAAGATTACTATCACTAGTTTATATTTTAAGACTAGACCTTTTTTTTTTCTCTGTGGTTTAGATAGTGAAAAGGATAAAAAATAAATTTAGAGGGATTGGGAGTAATTTCAATACTTTAAACTTCTAGTTTTACAGTTTTTTCCTTTGTATTCAGAAAGGATGTAGTTGGCTGTAATATCTTTGACAACAAATTGTTTACTTAAGATTACTTTTAATTCTCCTGAAAGTATTTCTCTTTAATTTAATTTAATAGTATTTAATTCTCGGGCGCCTGGGTGGCTCAGTTGGTTAAGCGACTGCCTTCGGCTCAGGTCATGATCCTGGAGTCCCAGGATCGAGTCCTGCATCGGGCTCCTTGCTCAGCAGGGAGTCTGCTTCTCCCTCTGACCCTCCCCCCTCTCATGCTCTCTCTCTATCTCATTCTCTCTCAAATAAATAAAATAAAATCTTAAAAAAAATAGTATTTAATTCTCTTAAATGTATTTTAAAAATACGTGATTTCTTTGGCTGCAATGCCTAGATTTTTTGGTGAATTTTTTCTGGCTTCTTACTTATTTTCTTAAATTTTCCAAGCAGTATTATATTGTTCAAATCAGTATGGTTGAATGGTTAAGAGCATGGACTTTAAGATTACCCTGGTTTGAATACTGACTTGACAGTTACTTTTTGTGTTATTTTGAGATTTCTTAGCCTGTCTTCCCCTCAATTTTCTCATGTGTAAAATGGAGATAATACCTCTTCCACATATTAGAGTGGAAGATTGCACAGTATGGTTACATTATATTAATATATGTAAAGTGCTTAGAATAGTGCCTAGCACATAGTAAACCTTCAAATTATTATTACTGTCATCTATTATATCAGTGGAATTTTGGTTTATTAGAACTGTAGAGAGAATTAACTTTTTTATTTTTTTTTTTAAATATTTTATTTATTTATTTGACACACAGAGAGAGAAGGAGAGAGCAAGCCCAAGCAGGGGGAGTGGCAGGCAGGGGAGAAGTAGGCTCCCTGCTGAGCAAGGAGCCCAATGTGGGGCTTGATTCCAGGACCTTGGGATCATGACCTGAGCCGAAGGCAGCCGCTTAACCGACTGAGCCACCCAGGGGCCCCTAGAATTAAATTTTTAATATAAACTCTTTTCTTGCCTATAATTATTGTTTCTATTAATATGCTACTGATTCACGATTTGTATTTTATGGATGCTTTGTATGAGAATGCAGTCTTGTTCTAGAGATATTTTTATTCTGAGAGTTTTCCTTTTATTTCATTGTAGGAGTGTAGCTTCTGTGAAGACCCTCGTTTTGCTAGAACTGGAGTTTGCATTAGCTGTGATGCAGGGATGTGCAGAGCCTATTTCCATGTGACCTGTGCCCAGAAGGAAGGTCTGCTTTCAGAGGCAGCAGCAGAAGAGGTAGGTTTATTTAAACTCATCGTTGGTGAATATGTTCATGTCTCATGACTGTAAATGTCCCACAACAGGTGTGCATTATAAAAGAAATTAACAAGCTTATTTTAAAAGTCTTTGCCTAGATCATTGGTCTAAAATTTAAAAAATCAACAATGTATGAGTTTTTTCAGTTTCAAAGCTAGTTAGACATTTGGAAAACATGTTAAAAATTCTTAGAGTGAGATCTGACAGATAAAATGAAACATAATCCAGGTTGTTTTAAAGCATTAAAATGTCAGCATCTTGGATAACCTCACTCTGTTTCTGTAAATAAAATCATTACCCCTTCAGTATCTGTATTTCTATCTCTTTACAATTGTTTTTAATTTTATAATTTTCCTTCCAGGTTTATTGGCTTTAGATTAAGCAATCAGTTGTTTTCAAAATATGTTTTGGGGACTCCTTAATATACTTTCAAGGGGTTTATGAGGTTAAAACTATCTTTGTAACAATATGAAAGTGGTATATACATTTTTTACTCTTAATTCTCTCATGAGTAATAGTGGATATTTTCAGAGATTATATAACACATAACAATATAACATATTGAATGTGGAAATAGTTTTGAGAATCCAGCTATCTTCTTTTATTTGGGCTGTCTAGATGTTAAAGAGATTTGCGAAAATGTAAAACAGTGCCACTCTTCTCACTGAATTTGTATATAGTATTTTTTTATAAAAATATTATTTATCTTAACATGTAATGGGATTATTATTTTAAAATGAGTAAATATATTAAAATTTTATTATTTTAATTTCTCATATGGGGACTGTCTATAAATATAACTCACATAAGCTCTTTCGGGCTCTAATAATTTTTAAGACTTAAGGAGTCCTGAGACTAAGTTTTGTTGTTTCTTTAAGTTCTTTATGTAGACAGGTATTTGAGTGTTTGCTTGGTAATTCTTACTGTCTGTTCATGGTGGATCTGTGGTATATCTAAGTCTCTTGTGTTTCTTCTTTTACTGGCTAAATTTTTAGTGTCATATAAAAATATGTTTATTATATTGGGTCTTTATCTTATCCCATTTAATTCATAGACAGGAATCAAGTGAAAAAGATAATCTAATGAAAATTGGTTGAGTAGATTAGAGTGATATTTTTTTTTTTAATAAATGAATTCTATAACAGTTATATGTTGGTACATGGTTTTGTACCAGTCTCTGATTCCTATGAATTGTACTTTGATTAACTGATGAAGGGTACTGCGTAAACACAACATTTTCACAGCTCTTAGGCAGACATAGAGGTATAATTAATTATATAATAGGGTTGTGTGGATTAGTTATGACTACAGCTCAGGATGGTGAGCGAAGTGCAGAGGGGCAATACAAATAAGACTTAGAAGACTAGATAATCTCAGGTGAATACTTAGATCACAGAATCTGTTAGGTTATTACTGTACTGTGGTAAACTTTGAGCTTTTGCAATCAGGAAGACTCCTTTGTAGCCTTTTCTTTTAGAACTCATTGGGAGCTTTACCTTTCATACTGTGGTAGTTTGGGTTCCTATGTATAGCACCATTCATTCACCATTTTTATTATTTTTTTGGGTTGACAGTAGGTAACGAAAATGTGTGAAGTTGGGGTGCCTGGGTGGTGGGAGTTAAGGCTCTGACTCTTGGTTTCAACTCAGGTCGTGATCTCAGGATCATGAGATCAGAGACCATGGCTCCACTCGGTGCAGAGCCTGCTAAAGTTTCTCTCTCCCTCTCCCTCTGCCTGCTTCCCTGTGTGCTTACGCAGGTGCCCGTATATGTGCTCTAAAATAAATAAAATCTTTAAAAAAATAAAAAGAAAATGTGTGAAGGAGCCATATACTGTTGCCTTTTTAAGTGTACTTTTTTTGGGAGTTGGGGAATGATTTAAAATATATTTGCATATGTTTCTGGTGTCTTGTTATAAACATTTATAGAATTGGAAATAAAGATTTCTAAACAATGTTTTAAAACCCAAGAGTTTTTATGAATCTCTATCAGTGAGGTTTGCTCTTGGCAGTCATCATTCTGTTAAAAGAAGTTCTTGGCTACTTCTTATGGTTGTACTTCTATAAGATTCATGTAATATAATAGTATATTTAATTAAAAAACAAATCTTAAAACAGATCTGTTTTTTGTAGGCATATCTTCTGTTTCAATTTTATATGACATTCTAGAAAGCTTCTTTTTTCCCTTTTTTAAAAACTTGTTTGTTAAGTGAGATTTCTTCTTTTTTTATCTTTTTTTAAGGTTTTATTTATTTATTTGACAAAGAGACAGCAAGAGAGGGAACACAAGCAGGGGGTGTGGGAAAGGGAGAAGCAGGCTTCCCGCTGAGCAGGGAGCCCGATGGAGGGCTCGATCCCAGGAACCTGGGGTCATGACCTAAGCCAAAGGCAGATGCTTAACGACTGAGCCATTTGGGCGCCCCAAGTGGGATTTCTTCTTAATGGCTGTTTTATATAGGCAGTAAAAGAAAGGTTGAAAAAGAATTAGTACCTCAGTTTTATCCAGTAACATCATATACCTTACCATATTCTAATGATTTTCTATAGCCTTCTGACAGTACTTTATCTCATTGGTGAGGATCCACTTGAAGTTTCTATTCTTTCTGATCTACTTTGTGAAAATTCCAGATTATTTAGAATATTCAAACCATGTTATGATACAACACATTTATTACTAAAACTGAGCAGTAGTACAGGTTCAATTATGCTGACTGAAATTTATGTGATTATGTTTCACACCATTTAGTTAGCCTTAAGGTTACTTATATTTCATGTAAAACATATGGTAGTTTCTTCTGTGATAAAGTATGATTTGCCACACTCCGTTACCATGTAGAAAATTCTCTTTGAAACAGTATAAGATTATAGATTTTATTGATTCTTTTTTTCCCATAACCTTTGACTTAATGGACTGAAATCATTCATGGATTAATGTCAAGAGCTCAAATTAGATCTTTAGCTATTGAACTGATGCCTTAATATTGCTGGGAAAACCAGGATTGGTAGGAATGGGCTCTTGGTTGATCAAATAATTTTTCATGAATTCATCAAGTTACATTGCTTAAAACTAGACGTTTTATATGAGATCTTCAGCAATACCTTTATGTGGCTGTTAGGCATTTGGTAACTTACATTTTTATTTTAAAAAGTATTTAGTGTTTTTATATATATATATATATATATATGTATAGTAAGGCTGTATCTTTAGAATATGTCTAGAATATGTCTACTTCTTAACAAATTCATTGCTGCTATCCTAGTCTCAGTAATCCTTTGTCACCTGGATTAATAACATCCTAACTCTTTCGCTGCTTTTCTTTGCCTTTTTAAGGACAGAGGGTGGCAGTTTTTTTTTCTCTGAAGAGCCAGATAGTAAATATTTTAGGCTTTTTGGGCCTATTGTTTGTGTCACAACTATTTAACTTTGCCATTGTTTGTGAAAACTGTCTTAGACAATATGTAAATGAATAGCTATGGCTGTGTTCAAATAAAACTATTTCCAAAACAAGGTGGGCCCACATTGGGCTCTCGAGTCATAGTCTACCAATCCTTTCCTAGAGAATAGAGGACCTTTTCAGTAACAACTAATACTGTCCCATTAAGATATAAGTCAGATCTGGTCACTCATCTGCTCAAAACCCCTTCAGTGGCTTTCCGTCGGATTCACACTAGAGGCCAGTTTTGTTTTGTTTTTTTTTTTTTTTTTTACAGTGATTATAAAGCTCTGTGTGATCTGGGTTCACATTACCTTTCTGACCTCATCACTTCCCCTCATTAAATCTCCCTGGCCTTTTCCCTGCTCCTGTAATGAATGTGTTGGGTAAGCTCCTACTCTGGGCCTCTGTACCTGTTTCTTTGCATGGGCTGCCCTTCCCTCACGTATGCCCTCATGGCTCATTCCCTCACTTTTTTTTAAATCTTCACTCCATGTCTCCTTCTCACTGTGGACTTTCCTGGTCACCCTGTCTAACGTTGTAACACTTTCCCTCCATGATACTTTCTAATCCCCTTTCCTGCTATTCCCCCCCCATCTTTTTAATACCTAACCACTGTCCAATATATTGATCCTTATTTATCTTGTTTATTGTCTCTCACCTTTATTAGAACATGGATTTATGAGGAGAGGGTTTTTTTGTTTTCTCTTTATTTTTCACTGTGTCTTCAGTCATTAGAGTATCAGTTGAGGGAGCGGTCCCTTCTATCAGTCAGCTTTTGTTTGATCAGCTCTATAGCATTATTGGCTTTTTTGGGTAAGATTTTATTTAAAAAAATAATTCTAGGGTAAAATTAGTTTTCAGATCATCATTTTGTGTTGTATTTTGCACATTTCCTTTCCCATTTATTTGTTTTGATTTCCTATTTATATAAAGGCATTGCCTGAGGGTATACCTTTGGCATACTTTTTTGTGGTATTGGAATAAGTGTTTATTCATACATGTGTCTCTTTATCTCTTTGGTTTACATGAGATGATGTTTCCTGCCATCCCAGCTCAGGGAACTGTTAAAGCACGTGTTAGCAGATAGATCACTTTCACTTTGTTACTTTTCTAAGGTAATCTTATTTAAACCTTTATTTGAAGTTTAACTGTAAGAAGTATGATTTATTTGGGGTATATGCAGAAGTATCAGTTCCTCTAAATAGTCTATATAAGCTTTATTATTAGACACAAACCTGGACAAAATTATTTTGATCCTTATGATTATTCCTTTTGCTGATACATGCTTTTTACATTTTGATGTTGTTACATTTTTTATTGTTAAATGTTGTCTTACTGATTTTTTTCTTTTGTATTAACTTGGGAATATTGATGAGCCAGTTATTTAGTACATAGTGTTCTTTCTCTTAGTTCTTAATACTAGATATAATTGCTAGTTTGCTTATGAACTTATTTGGGTTTTTTTGTTGTGATTTTGTTTGTTTTTATCTTTTGACCCCCTTCACCCCATTTCTCTTCTCCCCTCTCTTCCTCTGCCAGCCAC